GAGTTTCTTATCAGATAATTCTAGGAGACCTTTACCTTTTTCCTTCTTCTGCATTATCATTATTTCTTCCTCCTCCTCCTCCATGTCTTTCTCTTTTTCTCCTCCTCTTCCTGCTATCTTCTACTTCTTCTTGTTCTTCTTGTTCTTGTTCTCCTTCTTCTCCTTCTCCTCTCCTCTCCTTCTCCTTCTCCTTCTCCTTCTCCTTTCTCCTTTCTTTCTCCTTCTCCTTCTCCCTTCTCCTTCTCCTTCTCTTCCTCCTTCTCCTTCTCCTTCTTTATCCTTCTCCTTTCCTTCTCATTCTCTTTCTTTCTCCTTCTCCTCTTCTTCTCCTTCTTCTTCTCCTCCTCCTCCTCCTCCTCCTTCTCCTCCTTCTCTCCTTCTCCCTCTTTCTTCTCCTTCCTCCTTCTCCTTTCCTTCTCCTCTTCTCTTTCTCTTTCTCCTCCTTCTTCTTCTTCCTTCTTCTTTCTTCTTTTCTTCTTTCTTCTTCTTCTTCTTCCTTCTTTCTTCTTCTTCTTTCTTCTTCTTCTTCCTTCTCCTTCTTCTCTTTCTCTCTCCTCTCTTCTCTCCTTCTCCTTTCTCCTTCTCCTTCTTCTTCCTCTTCTCCTTCTCCTTCTTTCTCCTTCTCCTTCTCTTCTCCTTCTCCTTCTCCTTCTCCTTCTCTTCTCTCCTCCTTCCTCCTTCTCTTCTTCTCTTCTTCTTCTTCTTCCTCTTCTTCTTCTTCTTCTTCTCTTCTTCTTCTTTCTTCTTCTTCTTCTTCTTCTTCTTCTTTCTTTCTCTTCTCCTCTTTCTCTTCTCCTTCTCCTTCTCCTTCTCCTTTCTCCCTCCTCCTTCTCCTTCTCCTTCTTCCTTCTCCTTCTCCTTCTCCTTCTCCTTTCTCCTCTCTCCTTCTCCTTCTCCTTCTCCTTCTCTCTCCTCCTTCTCCCTCTTCTCCTTCCTCCTTCTCTTCTCCTTCTCCCTCTCTCCTTCTTCCTCCTCTCCTTCTCCTTCTCTTCTCTCTCCTTCTTCCTTCTCCTCTCCTTCTCCTTCCTTCCTTCTCCTTCTCCTTCTCCTTCTCCTTCTCCTTCTCCTTCTCCTTCTCCTTCTCTTCTCCTTTCTCCTTCTCCTTCTCCTTTTCCTCTTCTTCTTTTTCCTTCCTCCTTCTTATTTTTCCTTCTCCTTTTATTTCCTTCTTTCCTTTTTTATTTTTCCTCTCCTTCTACTTTTCCTTCCTCCTTTACTTTTTCCCTTCTCCTTCTACTTTTCCTTCTCCTACTTCTCCATCTGATGCTACTACTACTACTACTACTACTACTGCTCTTTCTTTTTCTTCTCCTACCCCCTCCACCTCCTCTCCTTCCCTTTCCTTCTATTCCTCCTTCCCTCTCCTATTCCTTCTCCCCCTTTTCTCCTATTCCTTCTCCCCTTTTTCTCCTCCTATTCCTCTCCCCTTTTCTCCTTTCTCTCCCCCTCCTCCTATTCCTCCTCCTTCCCCTCATCTTCCTCCCTTCTTCTCGTATTCCTCCTCCCCTCTGCTATTCCTTCCCTTTTCTTCATCAATTCTTCCTCCCCCTCCTATTCCTCCTCCTTTTTTCCTCCAGGCCCTTCTCATTTTCCTCCTCCCCCTCTTCTATTTCCTCCTCCCCTCTCCTCCTGTTTCCTCCTCCTTCCTCCTATTCCTATTCCTTCTCTCCTATTCCTCTCCTCTCCTTCTATTCCTCCTCCCTCTCTCTCCTATTCCTCCTCCCTTCTCCTCCTATTCCTCCTCCCTTCTTCTCCTATTCTTCCTCACCCTTACTCCTATTCCTTCTCCCCCTCCTCCTATTCCTCTCCCTCTGCCCCTCCTCCTCCTCCCCTCCTTCATCCTCTTTCTTTCTTCTTTTCTTCTTTTCCTTCTCTTATTCTCATGTTTCTTCATCTCCTCTCTCTACTTCTATTTCCTCCTATCCTCCTTTCTCTTCTTCTCTTCTTTTTCTGTCATCCTCTATCTTCTTCTTCTTCTTTGCTTTTTCTTTTCTTTTCTTTTTCCTTTCTCTTCGTCTTATTTCTCTTCTCCTCCTTCATCTTAATTTCTCCTCTACTTCTTTTTACTTCTCCTCCTCTTCTTCTACTTCCTCCTCTTCATCTTCTTACTTCTCCTCCTCTTCTTCTTCTTACTTCTCTCTCTCCCTCCTTCTTTTCTTCTTACTTCTCCCCTCTTCTTCTTTCTTACTTCTCCTCCTCTTCTTCTTAATTCTCCTCTCTTCTTATCTTATCCTCCTTCCTCATTCTCCTCATTCTCTTCTTATTCCTCCTTCTCCTCCTCTTCTTCTTAGTCCTCTTCCTCTTCCTTCCTCATTTCTTCTTCTTTCCCTTTCTTTCCTCCCTTACTAGTATTCCTACTTCTACTTCTACTCCTAGTCCTTTCCCTCACCCCTCCTCCTCCTTTCCTTTACCCCTCCTCCTCCTCCCCCTGCTCCTCCTCTTCTCCTTTTCTCCTCCTCCTCCTCAGTAACACAGCTCATTCTGCTCTCTTGTGTTCCAG